GGCAAACAGCTTACCTAATACAACAGACAACACATGGACAGAGGACCCAGGACCAAGGCAGGAAAACAAAGAAGTTGAGGAAAGCAAAGGTGCTATTAAGGACAGGATAGCTCGAAAAATATATCTCACGTGACACATGTTCAGGCTTCTATGTAGCATGAGGAAAGACGGTGTGCTTATTTGTTCGAACAGGTGTTCGTGTTCTTTGACATTGTTGTAGCGCATTTTTCTGTGTCTTCTCTCTTATCTTTTAAAATTGTCAGGGACACTAAGCTGCTGTACCAAAGGGAAAGCACGATTAGGGAAAAATAAGCTGTAAGTCGTGGGCGGAAATGCATCCTCCTTCTGCAAAGCATCTGCCCGTCTTTGGTTGTTACGGGGAATCATGAAAGGCTGTATTTCTCATCTTTTCATCAGCGGGACTACATACAGGACAGACACATCTCAAAGCAGGACAGGTTTATTTTGCCTCACTGCAGAGATACTGAGTTCATGGTCAGCTGGAGCCAGACGGGAGGACATGGCGGAAGGACACCATGAAGGAAAGCAGCTCAGCTCTCGCAGCCAGGAAGCAGAGAGGACAGGGAGGAGCCAGGGAGGAAGAGGCCAGGGACAAGATACAGCCCCCAGGGGTACACCCCCAAGACCCACTCAGACACACAAAGAAACGTGCTTTACTAGCCCTTAGTGCCCTCTCAGGTGAATCCAATTACCGATCAAGATTAACCCTGCACAAGAAGTAAAGGAAAGGGTAAGTAGCCACCTGCATACAAATCATATTACTTGAAGAATACTCTTTTCCAATCCAACCTGTGACCAAGAAGCCTTCATGTATTCAGGTTTGGTTCATTTTTAAGAGAAGAGCTGTCTTCCATTGTGGCATGCAAGAGATGCTTTGGAAGACTGCGGGAATCAAGCCTTTAATACCACGATGTGATTCAGGTATTCATGTCTGTAAGGTGCTGAAGGCCAGGAGAATCCTCTGTATTCTCTTCTGAGATTGCCACTGGCTTTTGCCGTTGGAGCTGCAGTTGTTGGAAATTCCCTTGCCAGCACTTTGATTCCCGGCAAAAGGAACAAAGTCAAGTTCCCTCAAGAGTCCTCCCCTGAGCTGGATTGGAGAAATATGCAAGGGTGACCCTCTCCAACTCTCTCTGACCCTGGAAGTCTGACATCTTGATCACCCGCTTCTTTGCATTTGGTTACTTCTGCAGCAAGTCTGTGGGAAGCTTCAAGAGCCAGGCAACCTCCCATGCTCTTTCCCAGGCACCAAGCATCAATTCCAATTGACACAGAGATCAATTCCACCACACAGGTGACCTCTTAGGTTTTTATTCTACATCCTGGCGTCTGGACCTTTTTCCCTTTTGAAAACTCTGACAGGTAAGCAAAGCCGTGCTGCTACCAAAAAAAAAAAAAAACAAAAACGAACTCTATCATCTGTGTATCCAGAGAATGGAAAAGGAGCTGGTAATGGAATTCTAAAGACTCCACTAGTGAGTGCGGGCCTACTGTAGGGACCCCGGCAAACACATCTGGAAGAAGCCTGTTATAGATTGAATCTTGCCCCCAAAAGAAGCAGTGTTGGCGTTCTCAGCTCCCAGAATGTGACCTTATTTGGAAATAAGCTCTTCATGCTGAAGTGTGGTCTTTAGGATAGGGCTTAACTCAACATGACCGGCGTTCGTAGAAAACCAAGGTCAAGACAGGACTAGATTGCAAAGGACAGTCACACACAAGGAAAGGGCAAAGATCAGGAACAGATCGCTTTCTGACAGCCTTTCGGGAATTAATCCTGCAGTCATCTCGATCTAGGACTTGTGGCTTCCAGAAGCAGAAGCCACTCCATTTCTGTCACTTAGGTAAGCCAGTTTGTGGCCTGTCGCTAATAGTAGCCACAGTAAACTAACGCGGAACCCACTAATGAATGCACTGGGGCCACACTTTCCTTCCTCTAAAAGGAAAGTTCGATTGCATTGCCCGGGTGGAAAATCTCTTATCACAATCGGTCTAGAAAGGCCTAATTTTATCAAACACGTACTATGCCCTGACCAAGGGCCTACCTTGCCTCGTCTCCTTTAAGACCTTTATTTCACACAGGCAGAAGCTGAATCCTAAAGCTTCAGCCTGGATCGCAGATGCTAAGCTGAATTCCTGCAGAACTCAGGGATGTCCTCAACGGATGTCCACGCCCTTAACCGGAAAATGCACCCTCCGAGCTCCACAGTCCCTGCCGCTTCCTTACGTCAGCTTCTCCAAAGGTCCTGCTTAAAGGTGTTTCTAGGTTGTACACTGGTAGGTCTGGAAAAGTTTAAAAAAAAAAAAAAAAAGGAACACCCCAAAAGATCTAGCGAACAAGGGTAGAGCACTTTATTCAGCTGGCAACCTTTACAGCACTCTCCCTTCAAAACCTTTCCTACCAGGTTGGCTCAGCGCAGGATGCGTACAGCCCCGGGATGCATACAGCCCCGGGATGCAGACACGGTTGCGCCACTGCGCATGCGCAGGTCCCAGGGAAGCGGGCCTGCGATACTCCCCGGGACCCGGACGAACCCCTCCCAGAATCCCGTGGCCGAGATCATTTGGCTGCAACCCGGTGGCTCGTGATGCCACCCTGGGCATCTTGACGACCTCCTCTGCACTCCACAGCCCCTTGCCTGTCCCCTGCCTCCTAATCGTCGCCCTTTCCCAATTCAAGCCACGAATTTACCACCCAGAGTGTAGGACCAGGCTCCCCGGGGGACTTGGCTGAGCGATCCAGCATGGGACATGAAAGGAACAAGGAGTAGGGGCAAATTTCCAGCGGATGCCTATGTGGCGCCCGCCCGCGCTTTATTTCTGCTCAGCTCTGCGGCTACCAAGAAAAGGGAGCATGCCCAAGATTGCGCGCGCAGAATTGCCGGGAGCGCGCGCGCGCGCCCGCGGAAACACGGGCGGAGTGGAGTGCGCGTGCGCGGTGTGGCTTGGGGCGAGCGCCGCGATACCCCGGGGAGCGCGCGTATGCGGCGCTGGTTACAGTGCGCGTGCGCACAGTGGCTTTGCGGAAGCGCGGGCGTGCGCGGAGAGGCCGTGTGAAAGAGTGCGCATGCGCAGCACAAGGGGGGGGCGGAAGCGGGTGCGCGCGCCTCCTTCCTGCCCCCACCGTGTCGGAGTCTCCGGTATCATGGCGGCGCCCGCGCCCGCGCCCCCGCCGCGGCCCGTCACCCACCTCATCTTTGACATGGACGGCCTGCTTCTGGGTGGGTAGCCCCCGGTGACGGCGGTCCCGGGAGGGCGCGGGGTCGCGGATGTGGGCGCTCAGGGCTGGGGGGCCGCGGAGGGGCGGCGTCCCGAGTCGCCCGCGCTCCCATGTCCCAGCCGGCCGGTGGATGTCGCCTCTAGGCGGCCCCGGCACCCGCTTCCGGTGGGGCCGGAGCACGTGGGGGCGCTGTCCCCGGGGACCACCGTGCGGGCAGGACGCGGGGTGCCGCACCCTCCTCCCTCTTCCCCTCCCCCTCCCCCCCCCTCCGCGCACACGGCTCTCTGCCCGCCACCCTGGGGGCGACCGCGATCGGTGCCCTGCCTCAGTTTCCCCAGCTGCAAAATAGGCTCAAGGGTACCTGCCCACTTGCTCCAGGGCTGCTGCAGAGCGCGGACGTGGGTTGTAGCATCCTTCGCTGAAGTGGTTCTCAATTGACCTCATCCCTGCTGCTGACGGCCTCCTCCTCGGAGCACAAGGTTGGGAAACATTTTCAGGGTCACAGCTGGACTAAGGAGGTGGGGTAACTGCCAAGTAGGGAAGTCCAAGTCTTCGCAGAATTCAGCCCTGGAGCAAGCCACTAGCGGAAATCATCCAACACCAGAAAGGCAGAAGTTGAGAAACCCTGCCCAGTTGCCCGCCTGCTCAGGCTCGCGCACGGGCACCCCTTCCCCAAACCTGCGCAGTCCGAATCCAAGTGCCTCAAAGTTTTGAGAAACACTGATTTAAGGATCCTTGGTGATGTTCTCAACTGTCTCAGTCCATTCTGGCAGACAGGCGCTCTACTAGAAAGAGGGATCCAAGCAAAATTCAGAGAGTAAGACATTCACTTGAAAAAACTCCAGAGACAGAGGTGTTGATCGCTACCCAAAGCCTCCACTGACTAAATGCTGCGAAACATATGTTCTAAAATCCTTTGTACTGGAAGGCTTCCTGAATCTGTAAACAAAACTCCCTACTTTGTTTAGACTGTTGACATGATTGCGATTGCTTCATCTCATACAACACTACTAGGTAGGAGGAAATATTTTTATTTGACTAATTGAAAACAAAAGACTGGGGCTCAGAGAGGTAAAGCTGGGTGTCTGAGGTCTAGCAGCTAGTGAGGAAGGTAGTCTAGAAATGATTCTAGACCCATTTAGCTCTAAGAATAAAGGATGATCGGCTCATCTTAATTTGTGTGTGTGACCTTGGGCTCTAAGATCTCATTTCTGAGTTCAGCTGTAATGAGACAGATTTTTTTTAAAGGCACACAAGGACTAGTTTTTTTTTTTTCCTTTTTTTAAGGATACAGATAAAAACTGATGAATTCTAAAGGAGGAATAAGGAATCCTGGCGGAAGTCACTAATTAGCATGAGCAGTTTATGCAGGTTTGAAATTTGAAAAGCTGCTGGGATTCAAAAGCGAAGCTTGTAGACATGAATTTTCTTACTCAGATAGGGAAGAAGTCTAATTGTCAAATAAATTCCTTATTCTATGACAAAGAGTCCAGATAACCTGCTCAGAGAGGCTCATGAATTTTAATGCAAACCAAGATGACTCATTAAAACTAAATTTTTCAAATTTGTAAATGAGCTTGATGCTCAATTCTGATCCTGGGTTTCACACACCATATAGCCAAGCCCTGAAGAGAGGAATGTAACTGGCATTGAGCTCCTTAGGGTCTTTGGGCAGTTGAAGTGGGTTGCATGGTTGATGAAGCATTGATCTGTGCTGCCCGCCATTTGCTCTGTTCCTGTCCCAGAACTGATTCATGCCATTTGGAAACTTAAAACCTAGCTCTTTTTTTTCCTCCTCCCTCGTTTTCTGCCCTATTTCTGCTGCCTTACCCCTTATGCTCCTTTGAAATGGATAGATCTCACAGAACTTCCTTAGATGTGTACCATTGAGGTACCTGTGTTTCACAAAACATCTCCTGTAAAGCACAGCTTCCCAAGCACACGCTACTTTATGTCATTTAACTGACCAATGTGTGCCAATTGTTTAGCGCCTCCGTTCCGTGTATCTGTTGTTTGGATAACAATAGATCACCAGTTTCTAATGAGTTCTTTTTCTGCATCTCTCTTTTTGCTTTGGAACTTTTGTTACCTTTACCCAGGAAGCTGTCATGGTCAGAGTAGCCCCAATACTGTACAAGTCAGGGAAGTGGAATTGAAAACAAAATAGTTTCATGGGGAATTGTTATATTACACAGGAAAGTTGATTAATCCGAGCAGAATGAGGAAGTAAATCGGTATTTTACAAAACTGTTGTGAAAAATACTGGGAATTTCACAGTGCTTTTGAAGTAAATGATGCTGGTAGTTTTCCTTTCAAACTGAAAGGACACTTTGGGACTCAGTGCTTTTTTTTTGGTTTTTTAATCTTTGGGTTTATGCCCAGCATCTAACCCGGGGCCTCACGTGTTCTAGGCTGGCACTTTCTCCCTGAACCCTACATCATCAACTATTTTTATTTTTTAATTTAGGGACAAGGTCTTCCTAGGCTGGCCTGGAGATAGTGATCCTCCTTTCTCAGCATCCTTAGCGGCTGCGATTACAGGGATGTACCACCTCACCCAGCTCAGATTCATCTATTTTTTAAATTAACATAAGGTTTCAGTTAACTAGTTGTGAGTTAGTTCTCAGTTTGGACTCTTAGGTGTCATTCAGAGAGTGAAAAGGACCCTGAAAGTTAAAACAGTGACAAGATTTTGAAGGAACAAGAAAAATGACGAGTATCTCGGATTTGAGTACCTGAATTGGAAAATTACCTAGTCTGTAGATAACTGAAATGAGGAGAAAAGATGGGCTACATTTCCTTAAAAAAAGACATTTGTTGTCCAGAGCAAATGTAGAAACCAAAAAGATACAGATGAAATTGGTTTGATGTATTTTAACCTAATGTTCCCAGAAATTTGTTATCAGGCACATAGTTTAAGAAAATCATTGAGTTTTTTCACATTTATTTTTGATAACTAGATCCTCAAAATATATGCTGTTAGCGTATCTCACCTTGGGCCGTCTCATCTCAGCTGTTCCGTAAGCACATCTAGTGAACCACTACAGATCCAGATTTGGGTGTAGCAGCTCCTAGTGTGTGCTGTGGATAATGGCCATAGTGGTAGGGTGGATGGAGGTGGGGTGGGTGTTTTAAGAACAGTCAGAATTTGCAGTTTGGGTGTACGTCATATGTGGTATGCATTAAGCGTGTTTTCTAGGAGTTTCTTAAAATCCTTTAAAAATCATCAGAAAGTAATAAGGAAAATCTAGGAGGGGAAATAATATTTGGAGTTTTCACCATGGAATAAGATACCTATAAATAGAGAGTGCAATGAGTGACAGATGGTTCTATTTCACCATCATGTAGCAGAGTCAAGACCTGTTCTATACCTGTTTGCTTGCCCGTCTCTGCCCTCTTACCCAGTATTGGCACTTCAGATGGTATAGAAGAGCCTGCTGCACCATGTGGGTTGCATGAGACACCTTAAGGTCCCAGAGGCAAGGCGTTTGTGATAGACTTGGTGCCCAGCCCTGAGATTCCTTGATGGATAGAGCTGACGTGGTTAGCCTATAGGCAAAATCCCGCAGACACAAGTGTGAATGTGGTCTCACACCATCACCTTTCCTTAACTTGTCCTAGACTATTGCCTTAAACCTCCAGACATCCCTAAAGGTGAGGACCAAAACAGGGTCTCTTTCTGTGACATTAGCACATGCCCTGGGTGAATTTTTGGAAGAACAGACACCTGTGTTCGTTGGAACCCTTACGATATGTCTGACTTTTAAAGCTGGAGGTAAGGTACTTCTCAGCTTTAGTTGGTTCCTGTCACTTAATGATGTGTCATTCATTCCAAGCAGAATTTCTGAGAATCTTGGTGCACTTCAAAAGAAGGGATCATTCCGCAGGCCTGCGTGTAGTTACCGCTTAGCCTCGAATCTTCTAGAAATGCTGGTTGGGGCAACACAGTGACCACATACTCTTCATTTTGGAGAAACCCCAGCCCCACACCAACCTGTATCATGTCATCTGGTTCTGAAATGCAGGCAACAGCTGTGGTTGGTTCACATTCTGCCCTTGCTCTTGCTTCCCTGGCGGCTATCTGTACCCATGGTTTTATTTCACCTGGATCAGTGAAACATTGAGGTCTGACTGACACCTTGGAATAGAAGCATCCAAAGTGCCTTCTTATTACAGTACAATCAGTGAATAACAGTGTTGTTTTCAGAAACTGGAGGGTTTGGGATAGAGGAAGCACAGGACACCTTGGATTTGTGTTATGGATTGAAAGACCCTTGGAGAAAGAGCTTCTGTTGTACGTTAGAGAAAAAGCATTGTCTTAAGGGCTCAGCACCCGTGGGATTCTGTCATCTCACAGACCTGAACCATGTCAGCTTGAAGTTTGTTCCTACAGTTAGCCATTCATTGCCTAGTACTGCTGTTCTTGTTTGTAGAATGATTGAGAAGGGGCGAGGTTTAAGTTGCAGGATTCTGTAGGTAACTGAGAGTCTTGTCGAGCTGGCATTATGACTGAAACATTCAGCAGATTTCTGAGTGCAGGTGGGAAACAAATTGTCTGTCCTTCCTTTTCTTTCTCCTGGCTTCCTGTTCCTCCTGATGTGGCTTTATTTGGAATCTTAGCTACGTAAACTGGATGGAATCAGAGGAGAATAGTCATCACTTTCTTGTTTGTTATTTTTGGAACAACTACTTTGCTCTTTGGTCTCTTTGAAAAGCTGGGTGGTAGAGGATTTATTGGTCTCTTTTATATGGTTGCTTCATCTTTATTCTGATTCTTTTTCCTTTTTCTTAAATATCATTTGAATATCAATTACTCCGTCATTTTTTAGGGGTAGATGGAGAGTTAAAACAGTCCTTAAAAAGCAGTCACCCTCTAAGAAATGTTTGCTAGAAACAGTCATTGTATAAATTTCCTGGTTACTTGTCAGACTTTTCCATGAGATGTTTAACAAGCAATGCACAGTTACTATGACTGAATGCTGGTGTCCCCTCAAAACTCCTATATTGAACCCTGATCCCCAGTCCAGTCGTGGTAAAAGGTAAGCAGTTATATTATGACAGCTGTGTCCTTGCAACTGTGAAGAGTTTTCTCTTAAGAGAGTCCTGCGGGAATCTGCATGTCCTGCTGCCATGTGAAGACCCAGCAAGGAGGCACCATCTGTGAACTAGAGAGGGTTCTGACGCACATGATTGTGGCTTCCCCACCCGCAGAACTGTAAGCATACATCTCTGTTGTCTACAGATTTTCTAGTCTAAAATATTGTGTCGTAGCAGAAGCCTGAAGTAAGATAACAGCCTGCGTGTAGGCAGGAGGTAAGCTGTTGTGCCTCATTGAGTTGAATTTGAATATAAAATTTCCAGCATCAAGTATAAGTGGTTACCAGTGATTAATAAATACAGCCTTTAATATATTACAGTCTTTTACTGTTTTAGTGGCAGGGAGGTAGGGTTGTATTTATATTTTGGTACAAATATTTATGATATGAAAGTACCCCTTCAGCTCCTAGTGAGGATTTTTTGGAAAGTAGTAAGCCTAACATACATGCAGTGAAAGGGATATGTGTTTTCACCTTGTCTGTGCACAGGTGGGCTATCATACGAGCACACAGTGAGCAAAGTTTGATAGGTAGATGTGTTGGTCAGCTTTCCCTCAATGTGACAAAATACCATGAGAATCACCGTAGGAGGAGGGGAGCTTTGTTTGGATTCACGGTTCCAGTGGTTTCAGTCCATGGTTGCTTTCCCTAGGGTCAGATAGAGCATGGGGTAGTGCAAGCTGCTTACTTCTGGTGGACAGGAAGCAGAGAAGGAGCAAGGGGGCAGGTGCTGTTGTCGAGGATGACCCAGTTTCTTCCATGGCCCTCCATCTCCTGAAGATTCCACCACCTCCCAA